TTGCGCGCGGAGACCGAGAGGCTGCTGTTGGAAGCCCGCAGTGCCGATGAGGAGAGGAGGAAGGCCCTCGCGGAGAAGGTGAAGGCTGAGAAGGAAGAAGGCTCCAAGTGGGTGGAGCAGGAGCGGGAGCGGCGGGCAAAGGAGGCCGAGGAGGTGAAACGGCAGGCGGAGGAGGAGCTTCGGGCCCTGCAGAAGGAGCGCGAGGAGGAGGAGCGGCGGCGGGCAGAAACTTGCCAAGCGGAGTCGTGAGGAGTCGAGGGCACGCAGGGAGGAAGCGATGAGGAACTTGATGGATGAGCGTCGAAGGGCAGCCGCGGAGTTGTGGGAATAAATGTTTTTTTTTATTTTATTTTTGTTTTCGTTTTATTGAGTTTGAGTGATAGTTCGTTTTTTTTTTTTTTTTGTAGCTACATACATACATACATATATATGTATGTGTGTATGTATATATATATAAATATGTAATGTTGGTGGGCAAGCCGCTTTTGTAGGACGTTGACGGGTATGCTGAGACTTTCGCGTGAGTATGACGCAGAACTGGCGTATATGTATTTGTGTGTGCGGGCGGTCGGACGTTTTGTTTGTAATGCCTGCCGCGTAGTATTTGCAGCGTGTCCGTGGCGCAGTAGGAGGTGGTTACCGAGATGTATTTGTTGGATTGGCTTGGTTTTGTTGTTGATTTATGTCTTGTTTCTCTTGCGTGTGCCTTTATGGTGACGCGTATCTTCGATGTATGTTGGTTTGTCCGAATGTTTTTTGTTTTGTTTTTGGTGGTTTGATATAACGACTTGGGTGAGGCTCGTTTGTTTCGTGTGTGTGCGTGCCACCCCCGTTTTTCGTTTGAGTTTGCAATGACCGGGCACGGGCAGTGTACCTTCTCCGTTTTTCTGATTTTCTTGCTGCATGTCTGGGTGTAGAGAAGCAGGTGTCGTTGTGTTTGATGTCTTCGGGCGCGGAGAGGCCGTCTGTGCTGCTGTTCGTGTACGGCACGCTTCAGCGCGGGGAGAACAACTACGCGTGGTGGCTGGCAGACTCCGATCACGCGTGTTTTATCGCTACAGCGCGGACCCGGCAGCGGTACCCGCTCTTTGTCAATCTGCTGCCTGACTTTGGCGGGTGCTCGCCTTGCCTGCTCGACATGCCCATGAAGGACGACGACAGCGACGCGGTAAACGATGACGGTAGCGGGATGACGCCTCATTTTGTGGAGGGGGAGTTGTTTTTGGTGACGCCGGCCCTGAAGCGCTGCCTGGACGTCCTGGAGGACGTGGCCGACGGCGTGTACGCCACCAGTGAGGTCGACGTGGCGTTGTTGGACAACGTGCAGGTGGCTGCGAAGGCACTTTGCATTGGTGACGGGGAGACGGTGAAGGCGCTCGTGTACTTCCGTAAGAAGAACTACCCGCCTGACTGGAACAGCCCCACTCCGGCAAGCAGCACCAGGCTCCTGCGACGGTTTTCCGCGGCGGAGTGCCTGCGTCTGTACGGCGCACGTTTTGCCGGTTTTCCTGCCCACCTGCGTTACGCGGTGGAAATGCGGGACGCCCTTCAAAGGGTGACTGAATGTCCGTTTGACGTGGGGTGTGGGGTGCCTCTGCATCCTAAGCCCATTGTGCTCTTTATCATCGATGGCGTGGGGGACGCCACGTACGCGGAGCTCGGACATCGCACACCGCTGGAGGTGGTGGCTGGTGTGCCCCCACGGAGGGTTGCGGATGAGGCACCGGCGACCCCGCTATGCAACACTGAGCAGTATGTCTCCCCCGGCATTAACGTGGTCGCAAAACACGGGGTGAGTGGGCTAATGGACGTGTTTGAGGCGGGAGTGAGCTGCGGCAGTGACACCGCCCACCTGGCCCTCTTTGGGTACCCGCCGACGCAGTACTACAGGGGACGCGGCGCATACGAGGCTCTTGGGGCGGGTATGGCCTTGGACGATACCGACATCGCCTTCAAGAGCAACTTCTCTGTTCTTGATGTGTCCACTGGGGTTGTCACGCACCGCCGCTGTGATCGCGAGTTCACGCGGGAAGGCCCCTTCCTAAGCAAGTACCTCGACGGGACTGTGATCGCAGGAGATGATTCGGGCCCATTCGAAACAGCGCACACGTTGAAGGTCCAGTACGGCACGGAGCACCGCTGCGGCGTCGCTATCACCGGAAAGGGGCTCTCGTACCGCATCACAGGCACAGACCCTCTGGCAGACAATCGTCCACTGCTGCACTGCAAGCCCACTGTGCCGCTCGAGCACGCGGAGTACAAAGCCGCCCTCTACACGAGTCGCGTGGTGAACGCAGTATCGCGACGAATTACGGAGATGCTTTGCCAACACCCAATCAATGAGGCCCGGAGTAAGGAAGGGAAGAGGGTCGCCAACGTGGTGCTTCTGCGTGGGGCCGCAAGTAAGGGATGGGTACCGCCATTTGCCGTGCGTCATGGTCTCGTTGGCTTTATTGTTGCCCCTACCTGCATCATCAAAGGTTTGGGGATCTGCTGTGGCCTGAAACCGGTGAACGCGGAGGGGGCAACAGGCGATTACCACACAAACGTCAACGCAAAGGTGGACGCGGCACTCCGGGAACTCGGGCTGCTAGATGCCGCGGACAGGGCTACACGGGGGGAAGGAGCAGCCCGTAGCGTGTTTGGTGTCATTCACGTCAAGGGCGTCGACGACTCCGGCCACGACAGGAGTCTTGAGAAGAAGCTTATGATGCTGCAACGATGTGGTGAGGCCCTCCAGCGACTGTGGACTGCCCTGCCAGACGGCAGCACGGTGGCGGTGCTTGCGGATCATTCCACACCCATCTCAATAGGAGATCACAGCTGTGAGCCTGTTCCTGTCTGTGTGTCGACGAAAGGGAGCGGGTTCCACGATGGTGTGGAACATTACAGCGAGGTGGAGAGCAGATATGGGGCACTTGGGCGGTTTCGAGGTGAGGAGCTGCTGGGCGTTGTGAAGCGTGCCCATCACTGGTACCACCACCTTCCACCGCGCGAGAGCCATAACGTTGGGGATAAGTAACGGTAACATACGGTGCGGCGATGAGGAGTACCGTGACAACATGGAACGGAGGTCTTTCCTTTTTTTTTTTTTCTTCTCTCTCTCGCAATGTATGTCTGTTTGTGTTTAAGATGCATACCTGCTTTTGGGCGATGACTTGCTTCACGCCGCGCTTTATCCCCTCGTCTCTGCCTCTTCTCTCTGCCTGGCCCCAGGTATATAGATAAGTACGCACACGTGGAACACTTGTGTGGGGAGGGAGTGAGACGCTGACACAACCTGCGGCACACCACAAGGAAAGAGGGTGTGTGTGGAGGCGGGCTGAAAGCATACGAGTTCCCGCGGCCGCATCATCACGCAGGCGCCGCTGTCGCTCTGCACTTTCTTAGAGAACACCAGAAAACAAACAGACAAACAAAAAGTAGTTGCTTGCCTTGCCTCGCAAAGTGTATATTTTGCGGGCAGCACTCAATCACTCACTCACTCACTCACTTACCAACTCCCTTCCCTTCTGCGATTGTGTGTGTGTTTTTCTCCGTTTACCTCTGGCGGCGTTGATCAATGCGAGCGACAGGCAACACGGCGGCCGACATCAGCGTCTCACTGGCAGAGCAAAGCCGCAGTGCTGACCCCGACGACGATACCTCGCACAGGCGTTCTGGATCTCAGACAACGCTGTGCACGAAGAGTGGGGGTAGTATTGTTCACTGGCTGCGAGAAGTGGATGCCGCGCGGGGAGACAGCACGCCGACGGACATGGAGCAGGAGGAACTTCTCATGTTCTTCAAGGGGCGTTCACAACAGGGGAGCAGACCAATGGCGTCTGGTGGCAGCGCCGCCAATGCGACTACGCAGCAGTGTGGAGGAGAGGAGGAACCTCCATTGATGAGGCCCGCGGTGCGACTGTCACCGCAGGTCACCCCCAGCGCAGGGCGCCACAGCAAACCTAGGTGGGAGGTCTTTTCAAGCGCGCCACGTACTGACAGATCATCGATGCCAGGCGAAACCTCTGCGTCACGGCTAAGCGGTGGTGGGTTTATGATGATGGTGCCGGCAACAGCGGCGATGACCCCCGAAGGCCATTGCGGCTACTCCCCCAGGTTTGGAACACAACAGACACCGTGCTATCACCAGCAATCACCAACACTGTTGCTTGCATCACTTGGGCGTGGCTTTGTGCATCCTGCGGTTAACGGAAACAGCAGCAGCTGCAGCATGCCAGATCTCTCACTTCCGCCTTCACTGAGCACAGGAGGCCATGTGACTTTCTCGGAGATCCCAGCAAAAAGATCAGGCGACCGTGAGCACGGCAGCACCAACGCAGTTCTCTTGGAGCCAGTCTGTGGCGGGAGCGATCACACCACGCCGCCTCGTCAGCGCATCCTTCCAGTGGCTGAGCGCATTAGACAACCGCCCTCCGCTCCTCACCATGACCGACGCTGCCGTGATGTGGGCGCCCAATTTTGCAGCAACGGAGCCCCCCCCCCTCAAAGTGGATCGCTGCAGAAACTGCGACTCAACAACCCGCCGAAGTTGTGCCCTCCCCATGCCGCCAGACTCCATTTACTCTCAACGGGGTGTGAAATCACCACCACCACCACCACCACGACTTCCACGATAAGGGATGTCAAGGGTTCTCCCCAATAGTTGCCGTCGTTGCTGCCTGGGCGCAGCGAGAGGAGATGAGAGTCTTGCAGGCGGAGTGGGCAGCTACACGGAGGATCCGCTGGTGGAAGCATGTGCAGTTGAATCAGCCCCCTTCAAGTGCCTTTTTTTCCTCTTTTTTACTTTTGTTTCTTTTTCGCACTTACTCCCTTCATCTTTTCTTCAATAGAGTGTGTCATTATTTTCAGTTTTAAACTCTTTTTTTTTTCTTGTGTGTTTTCCCTCTCGATTTTTTATTGCGGTATCTTTTCGACGTGTGTTCCCTCCTTCCCTCCCTGAAGTTTTCCTCACTTTACAAAAATACACAAAAGGCAACAACAACAACAATGTTTGACCTCCCTGCGCCGCCGCAGTGAGCTGAGGCGTGTGAGAGATGTTGGAGAGACGGGGAGGTGAGCCTCACTTAGTAATCTCCAACCCGCTCACACGCCGCTGGGCACGTGTTTTTTTTTTTTTTTTTTCGCTTTTTTGTCTCTAATGAGGAAACAACGTCTTTTTTTAGTTTTTATTGTACTTTTTTTTTGCTGCGTCAGTTTGGTGCCCAAAAAAAAAAAAAGAAGAAAGGCGCTTCACTCTTTGGTTTTTGGTATTTTACCGTCTCCAGCGTCTATTTTAGTTTTACCGTGGCTGCCTTTCTTCTGTTATGTATGTGTCTGCATGTATGTATACTCTGCGTGTGTGTGTGCCTATTGTTTCTGCTTGTGTTGCTGCCTCCCCAGGCCCTTTCGCTCCTGCCGTCGTTCCCGCATTACGGCGCATGCGTCTGGGCGCGAGGGGGCAGGAGGCACAAATACGCAGGCACGTGGGCGGACGCTGCCTACCGCGCGTGCGTGCGGCACTGCGCACTGTCTCTGCAGCCATGTTCCGTGCGTTGTGTTGCGCCGACGTCACCGTCAACGCGAACGTGGGGACGGCACACATACGTCCCCACCCACCCACCCACCCACCCACCCACCTAAAGAGAAGACGCTGTTCACACCCAAAATCAAGTCTGTTTTATACCCAGTTTTATTTTCTGCTAAAATGCCGTTCGTGTGTGTCTGTGTGTGTGTGTGTGCCGAATGAATATTTCTCTTCAGCCCCTCTTCTTGTTTTATGTTTATACCGTTGTGCGTCGGCGGTTGGGTACGTACAGGTAGAGCCATATATATATATATATATATATAT